AAAAAAAATTTTGCCCACCCAATGGGTCTTGCAAGTTTGTTTTTTTAAAGCCATGGGCACGAGATATAAATGCAAAAACAAAAATGGCAATGAATATAGCACTTGAAAAGTAAAGAAAGGGCAAAAATACAGTGATCCCAAACTGAAGATTTGTCAAACATTAATATCCGACTGATACACCATACTTGGCGATATATTTAATTATATTCGGTGGGATAATGCGAACTTCAAAATTTAAATGTCAACGCCTTCAATTATTACTACTGCCAGTCTGCCACTACCATATTTATGTATAAATAGGGGTAGCAAATCTGTGAAGAATACAAAGAATTTTCACTCTATCTGTGTATACATACAGTATACAGATACAATATATGGCTGGTAATAATAGGCATGTAAATGTTGAATATGATGAAGAAAGCTTGAGTGGTGCAAGGAAAATTCAACCTGTCTTCTCTACACCAATGCAAGTTCATTTCTTTCTTTGAACTTTTATTTTATTTTTCAAATCTTCTTGTAGTTGGTAAAAATAAAGTCCATTTAGATTTCGAATAATTGTAAATTTGAACCGAAAGAAAAGATGGGAAAAATCAACCACTCTATTTTTTTGGAGGATCATTTGATTTCTACTCTTGTTCATTTAGTAGTAGCCGACCTTAAATTCATTAAGATTAAGATTTATGTTTCTTCAAATCTAGTAGTTGTTATGTATCAGTGAACTAAAAGAAAGATGGAAATGATTCAAGTAGTCGATCCCAAATTTATTAAGAATAACGAATAGTTTATCTCTTGTTGTTCTGGTAAGTTAAAACTGTGTATGCTTAGCAGGCCAGAGCACTGGACAGATGAGGAGAAAATGAAGAAGAAAACTTCTCTTTCCGTGAGTGAATTGCTGGGCTTGGAGGACTTCCGTTCCTTAGATGTTAGTACTTCTTTCCTCTTCAAGAAAACGTCTTTATAAAAGTGTTCAACGATAAAAGATGTCGTCCTTAATAATTTAAACTTCAGACAAGATAGGTCAATTAGTATTAGAATGACAAAGATCCAGCCTTCAAGTTTCACCAATTATGCACATGATTGAGCCTTTTGATGAGAATATGAATTCATCCTACATGTGAAAAGGCATGCGGAAAACCGGATTTAAATAAATCAAATGATCAAATATCTAACCATTTAAACTTTTAAACGAGGTGATTCGAGTAAGAAAATATCATTTATTCCTGTTTATTCTTGAAGGTTTGGAGAGCCTCAGTCGGCGAGCTGATTGGCACAGCAGTTCTCGTATTCATGCTTGACACTATTGTGATATCAACCATTGAGTCTGATATCAAAATGCCAAACCTTGTATTATCAATCCTTGCAGCCATTGTTATTGCTATACTACTTCTTGCTGTACATCCAGTTTCCGGGGGTCACATCAACCCGGTTATCTCCTTCTCTGCCGCCCTGGTCGGGCTGATCTCCATGTCGAAAGCCATAATATACATTGTTGCACAATGTCTTGGCGCCGTGTTAGGTGCAAGTTGAAAACCCTATCAACAAACTTTATTTTTTTCCAAAGTAGTCCCCTCACGATTACGTTTACTTTCAGCTTGATGACTATGACACAATGTTTGACTTAAATTGGATGGTCTAAGTGAAACAAAAAGCAAACCACTTAAAAAAGTTTGATAATTGGTTGATATTTTGCTATGAGTTGAGCTACTAACAATATTTTTACATGCTTACAGGTGCGCTAGCTCTTAAAGCTGTGGTTAGCAGCACCATTGAACAAACCTTCTCACTTGGAGGCTGCACCCTGACTGTGATTGCACCCGGCCCGAATGGACCTGTTATGATAGGCCTCGAGACGGCCCAAGCCTTTTGGTTAGAAATATTTTGCACCTTCGTATTCCTTTTTGCATCAATTTGGATGGCATATGATCAGCGCCAAGCAAAGGAATTAGGCCATGTTCTTGTCTTGTCAATTGTGGGAGTTGTGTTAGGTCTCCTAGTATTTATCTCTACCACTGTCACAGCCAAAAAGGGGTATGCCGGGGCAGGGATGAACCCGGCTAGGTGTTTTGGCCCGGCGATTGTTAGAGGCGGCCACCTATGGAATGGACACTGGGTTTTCTGGGTTGGCCCGACCATTGCTTGCGTGGCATTCATAAACATGTGCTTCTAATAAGGTGTTCAGCACCACCGGTCGAAGTACTCTTATGATCATGATTTCTTTAATGTTGTCAAGGCTATGTTTTGATTTAATAACTGGTTGTAATTTATTGACGGTGCACGTGTCTTCTTTCTTTTGTTGTATTTTTCTCTTAATAATCAAGCAACATGTTAATGAGATATTGTATTTAAAAAGAAAAATGAAAAAGAAAATTCAGTGTTCACATATTTCAAATTGCTCTATGCAAGAAGCCACTGATCTCGAGAACACAAAAAAAAAAAAAAATGTTTATTTGCCAAAAAATTTCAAATTTACTTAGAGCTGGGTATGATCTGGTTCGAATCGAATCGAACCGAATCCGAATTTTTGGGTATTAGTAAATGAAACTGTCGGGTCCAATTTAATTATGGAACCGTTCGGGTTTTGTTCTCGAGTTTCGTACAATAATGAATTTTTTTAATATTACAACGCTACATTAATTTGATTATGACATTTTCAATCTTAACACTTGCAAAATAACGTAGTCCAATCTCATGATATCTTTTACATCTCTCTTTGTTGAGTTCTTCATAAATTTGATTGTTAAAATTATAAGAAAAGGAAGATGATGAGTTCACAATAATATAATGAAAGTAACGACACTACGGTAGAATAAGAGATTTGGGTAAAACTTATGTCATTTTGATTAAGTTAAGCTCGACTGAAAATTAGAAGTCGTAAAATCATATTTTGAGTTTGGACTAAAACAATTGGTTAAAATTTATATAGAAAAAAAAAAAATAATTTGATTTATTTAAAATAAATCATATTTTGAGTTTGGACTAAATTAATTAGTTAGCAAATTTATTTTAAAAAAATAAAATAATTTGACTTATTTAAAATAAAAAATTAATAAAATTAGGGAGATTCAGTTCTTATTCGGTTCTTGATCTACAACCGAATCAAACCCGTCAGTTTTCGATTCAGATACCCGTTCGGGTACTTAACTTAAGAAGAACCGATTGGTTCGGTCTAGTTCGATCTGATTCAGTTCGAAAGTTTTGTCCAATCCTAAATTTACCCCCCTTTTTTAAATAATGATGTTTACCCTAGTTAAAGTAAGTATAAAACATGTTTGCATGCTTTTAACCGAATTCTAAATTGTAAAACCTACTTGTAAATCTCAAAATGAGATTGAATCACTTGCCTTTTGATTTCTTGCTTTCTACACCGCCTTCTACCCACTCATTGGTCAAACACTCGATCACAAAGGAAGTAATTTGATAGCCACAATCCAAAAACTCAATTTGAGATGTTATATTTCCAAAAATAAACCTCCACTTTCATCTACTTTTCACCCTTTAAAGAAACCTGAATTTTTGCACATATATCTTTTGTTTGTTGTATAATGGAAGTTATATTTAGCTGAGGGTGGTAGGAGGTTAAATTTTAAACTCAAAATTTAACTCCTCCCTTCAAAAAATCATCCTATACAAATCGAGTCTGGTCAATCTACATGGGTGACCAATTTTCTTCCAATATCTCCCAATCGCATATGTTGGGTTAGACCTAGTTCTAATATAATCTAAATTATATTTATCTCAACATCTCCAAGTTCATGTGGGTAAATGGATCGTGTGACCAGCGAGTTAAGTTAAGAGCACACAACACAATATACCTATTAGGAATATATAACAGCTCTATAAGAGGAAATATATTTTCTCGCTACACCTAGGCGTATTTTGTAACACAGTTCGAGTATATCTAATCCCTCAATAAACCAAAGAACATACTCAACTTTTTCATATATATTGTATTGGTAATTGTGTCACAAAACTCAAATAAATTGTATTAACAAGCTGGCCACTTTACAAACTGAGGTGTTAGATAAAATAGTCTTTCTTTCTTACTTGAATCCATTAATTTCAAATCAGCTGCTTTCCTAGACATGACCCATCAAACCAAATCAACCATAGTTATTGGCAACGTGCTAAAGTAGCGACACCAAAATAAAATTTTGAGAAACAGTTAAAAGTCATAAGGGTATAAAATTGAGGTTATAAATGCCTCGGAGACGCACACAATGAAGAAGTAGGGATCAATTCTTTCTTTTCATTGGTCGTTAAAGCACACGTGATATGAAACACTTATTATGATGTTTATCCATTTCTTAGAGCATGTGTCTAATCTTACAAATAAAATACACCATACATAGTTCAAATATTCCTCGATATCTCGCAATCAAAAACTCAATCTGGCTATAGAACGTGTTTTATGGATAGCAAAAAATTCATACCTATTACTTGTTGTAATCTCATCAAGACGACTAGATCATGTACATAATATGATCACTGTATCTCATCTCAGCACAACTCAAAATGTTTGAGGCTATTGTTTGTGTGAATGAATCAATCTCAACCTGTTTGACATACTTTATGTATGCATATTAAATAGTAATCTAAAATAAATCATGGTAGAAGATTACTCTTAACATATAAACTCAAATATTGTTCTAATGAATTTATATGAAAAGTTTACATAGTACATAATTCAAATTCTACGAAATCCTAAAGATTAAACATGAGTCATAAAAACATCTCTAGGGATAGGTTATCTAAATGGATCAGCTACCATTTGGTGCGTAGAAATATACTGCATACTCATTTCCTTCTTTCCTATGATATCTCTTCCAAAATTATATTGTGTATCAATGTGTTTGGTTCTGCTGTGATACTTGAGATTCTTTATATATGCAATAGCTGCCTAACTATCACAATTAATCAATATAGGTCCTACATCACTATTGAGTACTCTTAGATGCTGTAAGAATCTCCTTAACCGAACAGCTTCATATACTGCTGAAGCACATGCTACGAATTTTACTTCCATTGTGGACAATAAAATGCATGTATGTTTCTTGCTATTTCAAGAAATGGCACCATATTAAGCAAGAATGTATAACCTGAAGTTGATTTGCGCTCATCTAGGTCTCCACCCCAATCAGTATATCATTTTAAGCATAAATCATTCCCTTGATAGCATATTGAATAATTAACAGTACCCTTCAAGTATCTCAATATCATATTAACAGCTTTCCAATGGTCTTTTCCGGAATTAGATTGATATCTGCTGACCAGACCTACTACATAATAAATGTCGGGCCAAGTACACATCATAGCGTACATTAAACTCCCAACCACACTGGACGATGGAACTCTAGACATTTTTTTTCCCTCAAGAGTTTTAGGACACATATGAAGACTTAGAGTTTCACCTTTCAATACAAAAGTGTCAATGGGATTGTAGTTCTCCATTTTGAAACGTTCAAGAATTTTCTTTATATATGACTATTGTGACAGTTGAAGAAACCTCTTTGAACGATCTCTATTGATTTTAACACCTAATATGTAATATGCTTCACTCATGTCCTTCATTTCAAAATTTGAGGACAACCATTTCTTAATGGTTTTAATATACTCCTTATCATTCCTAGCTAGTAAGATATCGTCTACATAGAAAGATAAAATTACAAATGTCTCATTTGACCTTTTCAAATAAATACAGTGATCTTCATCTATCATGGTAAAATTGTATGAGATAACTGCTTTATCAAATCTCAACTACCACCATCTAGAAGACTGCTTTTGGTCATAGATTGATCTATTCAATTTACAAACTTTATTCTCTTGGGCAATTTTAATGAAACCTACTGATTGTTGCATGTAGATTTCTTCATCCAATTTTCCATTGAGAAAGGCAGTCTTCACGTCCATTTGATGTAATTCTAAATCTAAATGTGTCACGATAGCTAAGAATAGGCGAATTGAAGTAAATCTCACTACTGGTGAAAATGTCTCTTCATAATCTATACCTTTCTATTGAGTATAACCCTTTGCCATCAACCGAGCCTTATACCTCTCTATAGTCCCATCAGCTCTTAGCTTTATTTTGAGAAACCATTTGTTCCCAATGTTCGACCGGGTGGAAGATCAGCCAAGTCCCAAATTTGATTCAATTTCACAGACTCCATCTCTTCTTCCATTTCATTCTACCACTTTTCCTTTTCAGGGCATGATAGAGATTTTTGTACTAATTTTGGTTCTTCTTCATCTTCTAGAGATACTATGAAAACTTGCCCTTCAATTTCGAAATGACTTTTTGGCGTACTTTTTCTAGTACTATTACGAAGTGAAGCTTTGATGTGACCTTATCACTAAGAGTTGGAGATAAATTATTCCCAATTCGATCAACATGTGGTAGTGTTTCCTCTTGCACCTCAGTTGATCCATCAAGTACAACTCTAGCATCTAATTCATACAAAAGTTCTCGCTTATTTAATTTCTTCCTTACTAGGAAAATCAATCTCAAGAAATGTTACATCACGTGATTCTATCCTAGTTATAGTCCGATCTTAATTTTCACCTATGAACACATATCCTTTGAACTGGTTTGAATATCTTATAAAGATACACTTGTTGCATCGCAAACCCAATTTTTCAAACTTACTTGATGAATCATAGATATAGGCAGCAAATTTTCAGGATATAAGAGAACTCAAATTAGGGGATCTACATGTCCAAAACAGATATGGTGTAGTAAGTACCGATTTAGAGGGAACTCTATTCAGAAAATAGGTCGCAGTTAACAAAGCATCTCCTCAATGGGAAATAGGTAAGTTACCCTATGCTATCATGGACCCCCACCATTTCTAACAATGTTCCATTCCTCATCTCAGTAATACCACTTTGTTGAGGTGTATTAGGACTAAATATATGTCTAATAATTCCCTTATCATTACATAGTTCTTTAAACTCTTCAGGCGTATATTCACGCCCTCGATTAGTTCTTAAGGCTTTCACATTTCTATCTATTTGAATTTTTACCACATTTAAATATCTTGTAAAGCATTCTAATGCTTCAAACTTATAAGAAATTAAATAGATTTAACTATACCACGTGACATTGTCTATAAAAGAATAAGAGGCTCTATGGCTTGCCCTCACATTCATAGGGGCACATATATCTAAATAGAC